AAAAGACACTTTGTGGGATAATTAGCAGGTACTTCTCCAATGTGTAAAGGTCATGATAGACAAAACTAAAGAATTGTTACAGATTTCAGAGTACTAGGGTAATACACAACCAAAGTCAATATGGAAATCTGGGCCAGAATCTGAACTCTGGATCAGAATATGGGTATTAGTGGGTGACTAGGCAGAACTCACATGTTGGTTCTAGTTCAATTAGCAATGTCAAGAAATTCTCAATGTTAATTTCTTAGATTGGATCCTCATGCTGTAGGTATGTGAGATGCTAACATTGGGGAAGCTGGATGCCAGATCTGCAGACATTATTTTTACAAAGGATTCTGGAGTCATTTTGCCTCTGTTCAAACCTGGCCACATTACTAGCTTGCTTAGTTCTTGTTTACTGATTTCCACCAGTTTTCTCATCCATTAAACTGCAGTAAAAGGGTACCTAGCTCAGAGGTTGTAGTGAAAATTACATGTGCGAAAGCATGTAGAACGCCTAGAATTCATCACAAGGGCTCAGAGCAGAGGCTGTGGTGACATATCCCATTTCTTAGACTGTCATTTTGTTACAATAGCCCAAGAAAGCAAACACACTCCACATACACATCTGGCTTGGCGTGGGGGAGTTGGTGCGTTTGTTTTAGTTGTCTAATAGGTATGTAGCCCACGTGTCTTTTAATTCTGAGACAGACAACTGTGACAGAAAGCCTATTCAGAGATATGGGGAACAACTTTGCTATGTTAGATATAGCTTTAGGAAATGACAAGATTGCATGTAGTAGGTGGGATGGTTATCTGAACAGAATTCTCCCACTCTGTTGAAAGAATGTGCCAGAGCAAATTGCAGGTCTCAACTTTGCACGTAGCTAAAACAGTTATTCATCCACAGTCTTGCAATGGCTTTCACTGTACGTGGGGACATGGCCCCACCACTTTGGAGCTGGGCATAGCTGTGAGACCTGCTGTGGGTAGTGGGATGCTTGTGACATCAAGTGAGTAGAAGCTTGAAATGTGTCAAGGTAACTGGGCTTGTACCCTTCTGTTTTTGATGTGATAATTAGAATATTGTTTCCTGGGCAGCTGTGAGCACAGGGAAGAGATCCATGGAGCTGGTCTAGCCCAAATCCAACAGAACCCAACTTTGGTCCGCCAAACAACAACCCCCCTGTTTGCCTGTGGAATACATTCAAGTCCTTTGAAACCTCTGAGCTTTGGAGTTGTTTGTTATTTGGCATTACTGAGGTTCTAGCTGACTTGTGTACAGAAAGTATAATCTGAAGCTGCCAACAGGGCTTGGGACCCGGATCTTCAGTTTGGAAACAGACATGTCATGGGCAATGACAACCAGCCATCTTTCTGCATGAGAGATATGAATATCCAGTGCCAGAACTTGGCTGAGACAACAGAAAGGTCTTCACCTTGAGCCAGGCAACAAACATAGCTGTTTTTGTTTATACAGTTGCTCCCGGAAAGGTGATTTGTTGAACAGCAGCAGCGGCATCCCTGGGAGCTGCTTAGAAATACAAAATCTCAGGCCCCATCTGAGACCTGCTACAGCAAGGTCCCTTGCTAACAAGATCCCTAATGATTCCACAGCTCGTTAAAACTTGGCATAGGTGGATCCATATGGCCACTCACACACCTGCCACAACCTCAGTGGTTTGAAAATAAAAGCAGTTTTATAATGTGTCCTGGGGTTAATGTTCATAGATAGCAAGCACACAGTTAGGGAATAATATAATACAAACTAAGAAAGCATTTAATTTAAGCATTTTTCAGTAGGGTTTGTATTCATTTGTTCTTTCCCTGTACCAGGAATTGAACCCAGGGCCTCACACAAGTGAGGCAAGCACCCTACCAACAAGCTATGTCCCCAGCTTTCTTTTTTAACTTTATACTTGAACTCACTCTTGTAGCCAGGGTACATCTTGAATTTCAATCCTCCTGCCTCAGCTTTCTCAGACTTTTTTTTTCTTCAGGGCAGTTTTAGGCTTCAGAAAGTTCTCAAATATTCCCTCTTCCTCTTAGCACAAGTTCCTGCTATTAATACCTTGCATTAATGTGGTGCATTTGTTACAACTACTGAACCGGTTTTCATATACAATTATTAATTAAAATTCATAATTCCAAGTAGGTTTCTCTCAGTTTTGTACATTCCATGGAATTTTACCAAATGCATAATGTCAGGTACTCACCCTTGCAGGGTCATGCAGGATACAACCCCTTATCTATCCACCCCTCACCACTAACCTAAGAGGACTGCTTATCTTTCTACTATCAATAGTTTTGCTCCTTCTAGAATCTCATATGGTTGTAAACTTACAATATGGAGCTTTTCAGATTACCTTCTTTTCCTTATAAAAATATACTTATGATGTCTCCTGTGGCTGGAGAGATGGCTCAGCAGCTAAGAAAGCTTGCTACTCTTTCAGATCAAAGTTGAGTTCTTAGCACCCGCATCGAGGGCTCACATCTACCTGTTAGGGGTCCTCTTCTGGTCTTCACAGGTACACACACACACACACACACACACACACACACACACACACACACACACACAAGGGAGGGGGAGGGAGAGAGGGAGGAGGGGAGCTGATTTTTAAAAACTACAAACTTTGAATTTGTTCCCTGTACTCACTCACATGCACATACCCACACATAGACCAATATATCACACACATTATTTGATAATAAAACTTTAAAAGAATTCTCTACCTCTTTTCACATTTTTATAGCTCTTTTTATTATTATTAAATAATCTTCTATCATGTTACCATAGTTTACTCATCCCCTTTTTACCAGTGATCTAGACCAGGTATTTCCAGGTTCTTGGCTCTTATACAAGAGTGAAATCAAAGTCCACACAGGTTGAAATGTAGTAAGGAACCTTCATTGAAAGCAAAGTACTGGAACAGGTCAGATAAACTGTCAAGAATAACAGCAGACCACATGAGTAAAGATACTCAAGGACCCTGATTATTGTTTTGGGCTTCCTTTATAAAGGTCAAAACAAGGGAATAGTGTTTTCTGGGCACAGCAGGGCAGGTGTCCATAGGAACTCACAGAGACTGTGATATGTAGGGGGTCTGTGCAAGCTTTGATTAGACAAAATCCAACATGAGGGGAGCATGGAAGGTAGGCACAAAACCCCATCACCAGCTGAGGAGCGACTGGCACTCAATAGCTGCCGGGACAGGGAGAGTCAGTTTCCTTTAATGACGTGACCCTGGCAGGCTGACCCCACATCAGAGCAGGCCCATGCTCAAGACTAGTGGGACAATACAAACTGGGCTTAATTGGGGGGAAAAGGAATCTCAAAGTTGGGTGGGAAAGCATGGAGGGTAAGAGGGCAGTTATGGGAGGAGTTGATGGAGGAAGGTAAATATGTTCAAAATAAGTTGTATGAAATTTTCAGAAAATCAACACAAAATATTGTTTAAAGAAAGAAATGGTGATGTGAAAGGTTGCTAATGGGAATTACTTATATCAGTGGTTTGTTTCCGTGGCTTTACTCAGGAATGGGTCCTAAGTTTGCAGAATGACATGGGTATAGCCCAAGTCAAGGAGCATCCCGGTCTGCTAAGCTGTTCCCGATGCTTCCCTGTTTCGCCCTGAAGGATATTTTGATGCTACCAAGTTTGTCGGTTATGAATAGAGGTGCTACTGACATGCAAAACTCTGTGTGGACATAAGTTTGTGTCCTTTTCCAACTGCCACTGTTGTTTACTGCACAGTCACAATCCCCCAGCCTCCACAGCAACCCCTCGTGCTGATCTGAGGTAGTCACAAATCTTGTTTTACAAGTGTGGAATTGGGAGGCTGGGTAACTTGTCCAAAGGCACATAGCTGATAACTTTGATTTAGGGACTTACGGATTTGGAAATATCAAATCAATAATTTTGTTTTTAATTGGTTGTTTTTGTTTTGTTTTGTTTTTTTAGGTTTTTGAAATAGGGTTTCTCTGTGTAACTATGGCTGTCCTTGAACTTGCTCTATAGACCAATCTGGGCTTGAACTCACAGAGATCCACCTGTCCCTGCCTCCCAAATGCTGAAATTAAAGGCTGAATCACCATCACCCAGCAAATGGTTTTTGTTTTGCCTGGTCCTTTTACAATAATGTTTGTTGATGAATTGCCATTATGGATTTGTATCTGAAACTTTTATTTCTTTCTAAGTAACAGGGACCAAGAAAATATCTTAGTGGGTGAAGGTGTTTGGTGCCAAGGCTGATAAACTGAGTGCATTCCCTGGGGCCTACTTGGTGGAAGGTACAAGTTGTCTTCTGACTTCTACATGATCACCATAACACATGCACGCATACAGACAAACATACACTGAGAGAGCTACAAACTCAACAAAATATTAAATAAATACATATAATAAACTTTACATAAACAGTTTTATTCCCTTCATGAGTTTCTATCTTTAGTTAGTGGTAATCTTCATTATTAATGGATTCCTGTGGTGGTATTGTGCTCCCCAAAATATTGTGCACGCTAATAAACTTATCTGGGGTCAGAGAACAGAACAGCCACAATATTAAGCATAGAGGATAGGCAGTGGTAGCACATGCCTTTAATCCTAGCATTCCAGAGGCAGAGATCTACCTGGATCTCTGTGTATTCAAGGATGCAGCCAAGCATGGTGACTCATGCCTTTAATCCCAGAAAGTGAGCCTTTAGTCCCAGGGAGTGATGGCAGAAAGTATAAAGGTATATAATGCATGAAGACCAGAAACTAGAAGCATTTGGCTGGTTAAGCTTTTAGGCTTTTGAGTAGCAGTTCAGCTGAGATCCATTTGGATGACAATTCAGAAACTTCCAGTCTGAGGAAACGAGATCAGCTGGGGAATTGGCAAGGTGAGGTGGCTGTGGCTTGTTCTGTTTCTCTGATCTTCCAGTGTTCACCACAATACCTGGCTCCAGGTTTGATTTTGTTAACAAGACCTTCTAGCAATTCGTGCTACAGCATCCCAATACAAATGGCCGCCAAACACACTGAAAAGTATTTAACATCTTTAATTACTGGAGAAATGTGAATTAAAACTCCAATCAGACTTCTACATCTGCAGATCTCATAATCCCACAATTCAATTTACGAAGAAATCTACTCTTTTTAGTTGTGAGCGGTGGCATGCGCTTGTAATGCCAGCATTCAGGAGCCTAAAGTGGGAGGATTGCCACAAGTTATAGACAAGGTTGGGTTACAAAGAATGCAAGGGGTGGATGAGGAAACAGAAATATTTCTAATTGCATCATATTGAGTATGCATAGATTTTTTTTACTTGTGATTATTCCCTAAGCAATATAATATAATATATATAATATAGAATAATATCTATTGATGTAATATTTTACATTGTGTTAGGTATTGTAAGAATACAGAGGTTTTTATATATAGGAAAATGTGTGTAATTTATTGCAAATATAACATTTTATATAAGGGACTTGAGCATATGTAGAGTTGCATACCTGTTGGGGATCCTGGAGCAAATTCATCAAGGATACTGATGAACAACTGCCCAGTGAAATACATCTCCCCTGCACTAGAATGGCTAGACTTGAAGACTGTCAATAGCAGGTGTTAGCAAGAGTACAATATTACTGTTGCTCTGACAGACTGCTTGGTTGTGTCATAGAAATTCAAACCTACAAATACTCTACAATCCATTGTCCATTCTTAGGTATTTATGCAAGATAAATAAAATGTATGTATTCAACAAACGTGCCCCAACTATTCTCAGCAATACCAACAGAAGCAAAGCCTAGAGAAGATACAAGTCCTTTTCTTCTGCTCTTCATCTTCTATTCACCAAGAGTTGGATAAACAGACTGTGGTAACATAGAGTGGAATACTACATGGCAGTTAAATACATGTGCTATTGATCCCCTCGGTAACACAGATGAACCTGAACTACAAGTGCTAAGTGAAAAAAGCCAAATTCCAAGGTCAGCATACTATATGACTACATTTATATGACAGCCAAAATAATAAACTATACAAACAAATGTACCTAATTAGCAGTTTGCACAAGTTGTGGGTAGAAAGGAGGTTTATCTACAAACAAAAAAATATACAGGGGCCTTCTAGAATGTGGGGGATAGGTGGGGTGATGGGTCTCCTTGATTCTAGGAGTAATTAAATATCTACAGTAAGAAACACAGTTTGAGCATGTGTCTCTACGTGCACATGCATGTGTGCAGATGCACAACCATATGGGTACTTGTGTGCATGAAGGTAAGAGGCTGGCATCTCAGGCCTTCCACAATCAGTCTCAACCCTTGCTTTTTAGAATAAGGTCTTGACTGAACCCAGCGCTGACAGACTCAGCAAGCCTAGCTGGCCCATCACGTCCAGGGATCTTCCCATCTCCACTTTCCCCGTGCTAATCTAGCCACCATGCCCAGCACTTTACATAGGTGCTGGGGATCAGAACTCAGGTCCTTGTGTTTGTACAACAAGCACTTTACCAACTGAGCCATCTCCCCGGACCCCACATCTGACTTTTAAAACACACAGCTGCGGGGGCATATTTGCATTGCTACAGATGCGAGATGTGAGCGCCTTCTAAAGCAGACATGACAATCAGGTCTTGAATAGTGGATTTTTAAAAAAAAATTGGTTTCCATATCAGTACCCGTGGTTCTCACGGCACTGAGATGCACAGTTCTAAGTTTACAGTTGCTTGCACATCAGTTCCTTCCTGCTACCTTACACACTGAAATAATAACCGCCACATTGCCGCAGTGTATATAACACTATCTGTTTTAGTTCTCTGCAGCTTGTCGGGTAGCTGTGGTCAGCTGACTGGGCTGAGAGCAGCTAGGCATTTCTGTGTGGGGCTAGAGTATCAACCAGGTGTTCTCTTCCTGTGGTGGTGGCAGAAGCGCAGAAGAATTGCAGAACCACAGTCGCACACGGTCACTCCCACCCAGGGACAGGTGGGAAAACAATGCTCAGGGTCAAGGCAAAAATAAAAGGCTGGGTAAATACAGTCCAGCCACAGTGAGGCAACACGGCAAGGGACAGGGGTGGGGGGGACCCCCGATGCAGTCCACCACTGCTAAGGACTTTGGAGAGAGGGGAATGTCAATGTCATTTGTTAAAATTCCTGTTTGGGCCGGGTGGTGGTGGTGCACGCCTTTAATCCCAGCACTCGGGAGGCAGAGGCAGGTGGATTTCTGTGAGTTCGAGGCCAGCCTGGGCTACAGAGCAAGATCCAGGAAAGGCACAAAGCTACACAGAGAAACCCTGTCTCCAAAAACCAAAAAAAAAAAAAAAAAAAAAATTCCTGTTTTGGCTTTTTGCACTCAAAGACTCATCACTTCCAGCCTGCACCCCCAGCTGACAACACGGAAACTGAAAGGCTGCTCGCTTCCGGCAGGCGGGGTCCTCACTCCCACATCTCACCGTCACCACCTATCTGGGTCTCATGAACTTTTCAAAAAAGTCAAATGCCCTAAAGAAGTGTTCCAGTATTCCTGAGTTCTTTTCACCTAGTTTCATCGTGAATTCTGTATTTGGATAATGTGAATTATAACTACTCCTTTATAGCGGCTAAACATTCAGTAAATATTTATTGAGCACTTCTGTGTGGAAGCACTGCCCAGCTGCCTGTGGGCAAGCACCACTAAGCATTCGCACAATGACAGAAAACTATGAGTGCCTGAGAGGATGTGGACAAACTGGAGCCCTCATGCATTGCTGGTGGGAATGTAAAATCTCTAGCCTCTTGAAAAACAATGCCCTGGAAAATCACACAGTGTGAGCTGCAGAGATGACTCAGTGGCTAAAAGCACTGGCCACACAAGTCTGACAACCAGAGCTAGGGTCCTTGGAATCCACGCTAAAACACAAGTATCTGCAATCCCTGCATGTCTACAGAGAAGAGGTGGATAGAGACAGGAGACCCACCAGGAGCCCGCGGACCAGCTAGCCTGGCTTCCGTGGCAGTGAAGAAACCCTGTCTCAAAGTGGAAAGGAGAGGATCTACCCACAAATGATGTCATCCGACCTCCACATTCACACTATAGCATATGCATGCCTGTCCCCCTCCCCGCCCCCCCCCTCTCTCTCTCTCTCACACACACACACACACACACACACACACTCACATGCAGAATAACCAACCATAAGAGCACTACTGTTTTGAAAGACTTAAAAGTAGGATCTCAAACTGTTTGAGTACCTATGTTCACAGCAGTATTTGTCATGGTAGTTACAAAACAAACAAAAATACCTCAGATATCCCATCAATGGATAAATGGATAAACAAAGATGGCAAGTAATGTAATACAATCAAGCTTTTAAAAGGCAAGGAATTTAAGTGTTTTCATTCAATTTTTTTTAATTTTTGAGATTATAATATAGTTACATCATTTCTCATTTCCCTTGTCTCCCTCCAATCCCTCCCTTACCTGTATACATAAAAACAACCTGTTCGGTCTGCATGATGTTACTTTTATGTATGTTTTCAGGGCTGACCATTTGGTACTGGATAGCCAATGGGTCTTTTCTGGGGAAGTCTATTTCTCCCACTCTCAGCATCCATTCCTTGCCTGCAGCTCTTTGTGCAGTGTGGAAGCCTCACTGGCTTGCCCCATCATATTAGTATGTCTACTATAGTTGTTCTTATTCAGCTCATGTGTAGGCAGTCATGCTGGTGAGACTCTGACATTCCTAGCAAGTTTCCAAAGGAAGGAAGCAACCAACAACTCTACCCATATATGAAGCCAATGAACCAGGATGACCATCAGAGCTAGGTAACCCTAAGGGTGCAGTAGTGGCATGCATATCTTGGTAACAACCAACAGCTCTCTAATTGGACATAAGACCAATTCAAGAAGAGAGAACCCATACCTGGTACTAGAAACCTAGCCAACTACCCAGGGCTAGTGAAATCATGGCTCTTCAGAGGAGAATCTGCAACTGCCACTCATTAAACCAGGATAATCCCTATCTATATTCTAAATGTTTGTCCTTATACCCACAGGTAAGTTTGGTCCTCATCCCATATTAAGAAAACTTCTCTTTGCAACAGATGGAAACCATTACAGAAAACTGGAACAAATCAAAATTCAGATTTGTGGAACCCAGTCTTAATGGCTACATCTACAATATAACTTCCACACCTAAAACTTGGGGGTCATTGCAGAAGAGGGGCCAGAAATACTGTAAGAGTCAGTTGAACAGGGAGTTTATTGTGAGGTTGTGTGTTCTAGGCATGGCATTTTGATGTGTGCTACAATGTGATTAAAACTTGAATTTGTTTCATTAAGTGAAATTAGTCATGCACAAGAGGACAAATACTGTATAAATCCACTTACCTGAGCTACATAGAGGATTCAGATTCATGGAGACAGAAAGTAAAATAGTGGTTACAGTGTGTGTGTGTGTGTGTGTGTGTGTGTGTGTGTGTGTGTGTGTGTGTGTGTGTAGAAGGGGAGAAAGGAGAGTTATTATTTAATAGATACATAGTTTCATTGTGAGAAGCTGAAAAAGTTCAAGAGATGGAGAACAGGACATCTACATCATTCCCTGCCCCCAAGGCTCAGGCAACATTGCAGAACACAACACACCATGGAACATACATGTGTTATGTGACAATTTCCTCTGAGATCATGCATTCTATCTTAGAGGGAAGCTCATTAATACTAAAGGGAGGCTGTTAATAATTGGGAAATAACTCAGAACTCTCAGGAAATCCCTGAAATTAACCAGATGCACTAGACCCCCTCCCTCTCTATGTTTAAATAAACAGTAAGAACTTCCAAGAGACCAGCCAAGCTGCCCGAGTCACTCTATCACCTGTCACTCTGCCTGCACGCTGCACAGTGAGCTCTAAATGGCCAGGGTTTGTGAGCTGTCGTCCATGCTGGGGTGGGCTTTCAGCAATACAGCCACCTTTGAGTTATCCCCTGTGCCTGTGAGTGACCCCTGATGTTCCTGAAGTATTCCTAATAAACGCATTGTGTCACCGAGTTGTATTTGGTGGTATCCTTACTTTGGTCCATCATCACTTCCCATCTGGGGTGAAGAGATGTTTGCTCATGTCTCCCCAGGGGGAGTGTCATACAATACTGTAGGAGCCAGGACAAGTGGTAGAGTGGTGGAGAATGCCGGCTTCCAGTCATGACATAGCCACTGTGCTTCTGAACTCACAAAAGCTGAGGTTACCTGAAAGAGCTACAAGATATTGAACCTGTGGGCAGCCTATCATGAATGGGGAAAGGAGTTCACAAGTCCTCACCCCTTCCTAAGGATATATAGGCAGTTATGGTTGGTGGAGGAGGGAGGGGCATTCTCTTCCAGTGGTATAGCCACTGGTAAGGTGCCTGTGTTCCTATAAACAAGCCCTCACTCATATAAGCAACTCTAATGTAACTCATTGGGTCATCAAAAAAAAAAAAAATCCAAAAGCCTTAGGGGGACTGCTTGGGAAGAGGAAAAGGATTAGCCAGAGTGGAATGAAGATAAATGGGGATAAGGAGGTATATGTGTGGATACACTCAAAATACAGTGTATAAGTATATGAAAATCCCATTGTGTATAATTAATATAAACTAATAAAGACAAATGTATATACATACATGGTAGCTCTCAATTCCCCTCTGTTATGGAAACTCAAAGAGAGGCTCTAGGGAAAGGTAGAAAGAACAGAGAAGAAATTCTAAGTTTTGAATTTAAAATGAAGCCAAGAAGTGAGAAGGAAAGAAGAGAAATGGTCAAGAGAGTCAAATGATGTCAGACACCTGCACAAGCAAATCAAGAGAGAGAGAGAGAGAGAGAGAGAGAGAGAGAGAGAGAGAGAGAGAGAGAGAGAGAGAGAGTGCTCATCCTCCACTTCTGAGCACAGAGGAAGTGATGGTGGGTGAGGGGACTCAAGCGCATTCCTCAAGGAATGTGTCTGAAAAGGGAGCACGGGGCAGGAGCAGGGATTGAAGACACAGAAAGTTAATAGAAGTTATTTCTTAGGAGAGGGAAATGTATAATTTATGAAGAAAAGAATAAAAAAAAACAAGAAGAAAATGCCTCTCAACACAGGAGTAAGTTATTGTATACTGAAGGAGCTTCACTCGGCTGTCTTTGAATCTCAGTAGCGGGACCTCCATTTGAGCAGCCAACTACCTGGCACCTCTTACTCCATCCTCAAAGTGAGAATAAAAGCATTGTCCATGTCATGTCACAGATTTGGCTGTAAACAGAACAAGAGTTATACCCATCAAGTACCCAGCACAGTACTATTAACGACTCTCAACACTGAATGCCAGAGACAATGGATCTTGGAGGAAGTAGGGAGGGATGAGATGGCACCCTCAGAGAGGTACAGATGAGTCCTACTCTTGTCCAGCAAGGAGACGCAGTGACCTTGAGGTGGAAAAGCCAGCCCTGCCTAGCTGCTCAGACTTCTTTTCTCATCTTGCCCTTGCAGGAACCTCTCACTTCAGACAGGCTAAGGTTTCATACAACCTTCCTGAACATTTCTTGAGCTTTCCAGTTCTAGAATTGTTTTGCCTCCTAGCTTCTATTTCTATTCAAGCTACTCTTCCTTCAAGCCTCACCTTCAGCTGAGTTGACTCCTGTCAAGCATCCCCCTCTCCCTCCTCCCTCCACCAGTCGTGGCCAGTAGAACCCTCAGGAACAGCTAGCCCACAATGGGCTGGGCCCTCTGACATCACTAATTAAGAGAATGCCCTACAGGCTTCCCTACAGCTCAACCATATGAAGGAAATTTCTCAGTTGTGGTTTCCTACCCTCAGATCATTGGCTATAGCACGTGTCAACTTGACATTAAACTAGCAATGGGAAGAGAGTGAAATTCACAGCCTACGAAGCTTAAAAAGTTCATTATAGGTTCATAGTTGGGATCATAAGAGAGAGCAAGAGATTGGGGCAGATTTCCCGAATAGTACGAGTGGTTCAAGAAATATGGCACAACAAGCTGATAGTCTGGGAATTTTATAGAATTTAGTAGAAACGAGGGTAAAGCATGGGGAGGGGTGAGCTGGTAGTCCAAGGGGCCCAACCATGAGGTATCCAGATGCCTCTTCTCAGTTTCAGCCATGTGTTTACATATAGCTTCCACACAGAGATAAGAGGTAACATGGAACCAGGAACTGGAACTCTCTTCTTGGCATTCCTGGCCTTCAGCACGGACATTCTTAGAACTGCTGCTTTGGGCCCTCTGCCCTAACTGTTCTCATCCCTTGGAGACCTCTGCACAAAAGTTGGAAATGTAACACCAAGGAAAGTTCTGGATGTGCAGGAGCTTGGTTTATACTTCCTGGTTTATTCATCACTCAAAAAAGACACAGTGAGTGAGTCAAATGGGCAGAGAGAGGCCAAGGGTGGTTTAGAGAAATTTTGAGATTTTCCTTGAGGAAACCATAGAATGCCCACAGACCCTCCCTTTAATGAATCTGAGTTCAAGCTGGGCTGGGGTGAAGGATAAACATGGAGAAGTTTTGCCCAGTAGAGCATGGACATTTCTTGATTCTGCTAAATTGGTCTGTTTTATGTCTCATTTTCTTCTCTTACTTCCCCTAAGGTTTGGCTAGGGACTTTACAACTCAAAGTGGAGCTTCTCCCTAAAGCCCCTGATCTCTCCCACAGCCTGACTCTGTCCTGAAAGAGCCATAATCCCTCTGTACGTGGACTAGAAAAAAATAAGACTCTGTTTTAATGGCTAGCTTTGAGACCTGTAAACTAAGAGAACAGTCAATACTGCAAGTGTCAAACCAGGCTAGTTTGAGTTCAGGAAATATATTCCAGGAAATAACAGCTCACTTTTCCTGTGGGCACAGAGTGAGGAGCTGTTGGAATTAATAACTGGTCCACAGAAGCCAGATGTTTAGACAGAAAAACTTCTAAAAGAAATTATAACATAAGTGTTGGGGCTAGTATCGCCCAGTAGCATTACTGGGATTCTGGAAAAGGTCTATATCAGTCTCTCCAGAGCAATGGCTACTGGCTGTACATAGTTACTGAGAGCTTGATGTATAGAGACTGTCAAAGAGGAACTATTTTATTATTTAATTTTATTACAATTAATTGAAATGTAGTCATGTGGGATTCCTCACCAGCACTTTAGGAAACTGTAGCCGGAAGTTTTCCTGTGTCCTGCAGCTACTCAGTCCCAAGTAAACACACAAAGGCTTATACTAATTATAAACTGTTTGGCCTATGGCTCAGGCTTGTCATTAACTAGCTCTCAACTTAATTCAACCTATTTCTATTAATCTATGTTTTGCCACGTGGCTTCATGGTTTTACCTGTGTTCCATTACATCTTGCTCCCCCGGCAGCACTCAGTGTCTCCTTTGACTCTACCTCTACAATCTTTCAAATTTCCTGCTTCACTGAAAAGTCTTCCAGATACTCTAGGCCTATAGGCTGAAGACAGATGCCCCAATGTTACAGAAGAACTTTGGATGACTGTTCAGGCAGCCAGATTCCCTATCATTTCTAGAATCTTGGAAGTTGCTTGCAATGCACTTCTTATTTACTCAGATAATATTATAGCCTTCTGGGGTCTTTGATGGAGTTGAAGACTAGATAGTTATAATTATAGTTTTCCTTAATTATGGTAAAAGGTAAATTAGATATAAAACTTTAGACTCACTAAAATAAGATAGATGATAGAATATTTTCTTTAATTTTGCCAAATACAAATAGAATAGATATTGTAACTGTAATTCTTACTTGATAACTGTTTTGTTATATGTAATTTTACTATGTTAAAGTTAAAAGTTTCCTTTTGATTAGACAAAAAAGGAGAAGTGCTGTGGGGTAGTCTTTCTGTACGCTGTGAATATGTGTTGCTACCATTGGTTAATAAAGAAGCTGCTCTGACCTATGGCAAGACAGGTTATAGCCAGGCAGGAAGTCCAAGCAAAGATATAGGAAGAAGGAAGGTGGAGTCAGGAGAGATATGCTGCAAGCTGCTCAAGAAGCAAGATGTGAAAGAACCAGTAAGCCATGGGACACGTGGCAATACATAAATAGAAATGGGTTGATTTAAGATATAATAGCTAGCTACCAATAAGCCTGAGCCATAGACCAAACAGTTTGTAATTAATATTACAAAGGGAGAGATTCATTTGTTTATAAGAAACAACCCTGGCAAGGAAGTTACATGAGTGTCTGGTGGATGCTACCTACTCCTAAGTCACTGAATTACACCAAAACTCAGGCAAAAATTTATTTAAAACTCCCAGTAACTCATTTGAGATTAGTATACATGCAGAATAGAGACCAGCTCCCAAGAGAGGTGAGGGCACTCTCATTTGGTACCATAGTTACCAGTCTAAAGGCAAACAACTAAATTAAGATTGTTGCATTTATCTCTGAATAGGATGTATGCATGCCCAAGTGTGTGATTCCTGAGTAGTATGTCAAATAATAAAAGGTGTAATTTAATTATATTAAAAACCAATTTAAGATTTGAGCAACATCTGGCATCCAACTTTTGGGGCACAAATTCATAAAAAAAAAAAAAGCTGCTTGCCTGTGCCCCAGGCCACAGCTACATGCAGCCGGACTTCCTACCCTGCTGGTTAAGTTTTTGCTGCAGCCTCTCTGCAGCAAACTCCATAGCTTTTTGGGCTCAACAAACCACAAGAGTTAGCTACTTTCACATACTTTCCCCATGCAGATGATGGATCTTTTGCTTCTTTTCTCTCTCGGTGGGTTTTGGCTTTCTCTGGGCCCCCTCCTCAGGCTGCTGCCACATCATCATCTAAATCATTGTTGTCAGCAGATTTGGTGAGTCAATGAAGATTTCTTAAAAAGAGGAATTAGTTAAAAGAAAGTTTTTTTCACCACAATAAAAAATGGAAACATTTTTACAATGGAGGGTGTTTGGTCTCTGATAATACAATTGATGGTCTGAGAGTGGAACAATTAAATGAGAGGATAATTAATGTTGATGGGATTTATGTAATGTCAATTATAAATAGTGTTTGTTTGAACATATTAATAGTAAGGATTTGAAAAAGAATTTTTCTACAACCTGGCAACAAGCCAAGGAAATTATAAGGAAATGTTTAACTTGTTCTTTATCCAATCAAACTCCACTTCTTGCAGAAGTAACCCAAAAGGTACTCACAGAATGAAATCTGGCAGATAGATGTGCTTCATTTTGTAGAATTTGGAAAATCAAAATATGTACACCACACCAGTGATATCTATTCAGGATTTTAATGGGCAACTGCTTTGAGTTCTGAAAAGGCTGAATCTATAATCACACATTTGCTAAACATTATGGCCATCATTGATATACTTGTACAAATTAAGACTGACAATGCTCCAGCATATGTCTCTGGTAAAATGAAACAGCGTTTTGCTTATTACAATATAAAGCATATTAGAGGTATACCACACAATCCTACAGGCTAAGCATAGAAAGACTAAATCAAACTCTAAAGAATATGCTAAATAAACTGAAAGGGGTAACAAAACCCCCAGAAATAGATTACATAATGCTTTATCATCTTGGAATTTTCTAAATGCTAATAAGAAAGGAACAACAGCTATGAAGAGACATTAGATAATTAGAAAAAAAAACTACAGAATTAAATCAGCCTGTATACTTTAAAGATGTGCTGACCTCAGAATGGAAACCAGGATATGTATTACATTGGAGATGAGGTTTTGCTTTTGTTTCCACAGAAGAAGAAAAGCTATGGATACCATCAAAATTGATAAAGGTTCAATTTGAACAAGAGAGGTGATAGTTCATCAACCAGCATGACCATTCAATTTAAATTAACTTATACAACTAACAAAAGCTTTTTATTTGATCAGATATAAATTGCCAAAAGGGAACCTCCCCAAAGTTAGGGTTGTGGAAAGGTTTTGTTTTTGTCTTTCAGGAGATAAAAGGCTAAGGAATCTGAAGAACACTGGATAAATGAGACATCTGAAGAAAAAGAATGAATCATCCAGAAAAAAATTTCTCACAAGAAAGATTTTCTGCAGTGAACCATGACCATGCCTAATAGCTACCTTTGAAGTCTTTGAAAAGGTGATTCTTTCCCACAGCAACAGTTTCACTTTGGAGTATGATAATGCCACCAAACTGACATACACCACCCAAAGATTGGCTTTGGACTACAAACTACTCAGGACAATATCAAGATGGCTAGCTGAGATGATACAGTCTCACAGACTACTCCAATCAGGACTTGACCACAATCCTAAATTTTCTTTGTGTCCACATAAGACTACCAGTGCCCCCAATCAGCAGGAAGTAGCCTAGAAAACTACACCCACATTCCCCAGAAAATGGACTATGGATGTTTGTCTTAGTTTAGGGGTTGGTTAAAAAATTGTTATTGGTCATAGTCAATCTCTTTCTAAAAGAAGAAAGGGGGATATGTTAAAGAAATGTATTATATAGAAATGATAGGATAAAAGGGTAGATTATTGAACATACTCTGAAAAAAACAAATTATAGAAGTGATATGATAAAAGGGTAGATTATTGAATCTACTCTGAAAAGAAAAGAAGGAGAACGTAGTCAGAAGGTTTCTCCAGTCCCGCCTGGCCCTTCTGTTCCACAGCCACTTATAATATAATCACTCAAAGGCTTAATATTATTTATAAACTGTATGGCCTATGGCAGGCCTCTTGCTAGCTAGCTCTCATGTCTTAAATTAACCCATTTCTATTAATCTATGTTTTGCCACATGTTCCGTGGCTTACTGGTCTGTTGGCATGTTCTTTCTCCCTTGGTGGCAGCTGGCATCTCTCCAGATTCTGCCTTTCTCCTTCCTGTCTCTCTCTCTTTTCCCACCTGCCTTTAAGCTGCCTTGTCATAGGCCAAAGCAGCTTATTTACTAACCAATGGGAGCAACATATATTTACAGCATACAGAAAGATATCCCACAGAAGGAGAATATGGATATAATAAGATAAAAAGGTAGATTATTGAATCTACTTTTAAAAAGCAACTACCAGTTTTAAGTATTTTACAGTAGATCGGATTTTTGTATATTGTATACAAATTTTGTATATTAATACAAATTTGAGATTATTTTTGTTAGAACATACTGAACATATGTTTCTAAGCTTGTTCAAGGTATTGTACCTATACAATTCATTTAACAATGTAATGCAATTTTCTAGTCCTTGAAAGCTTTTACCAACTAATTAGTATATAAAGAAATGCAAGTTAGTAGTTAGTCATTACAGCTGAACTTGTAGTCAGGTTAGGTATGTTTTCAAGGTCAAGAAAATATATTTTAGATAGACAGGTCATCTTCAAACACTTGAGAGATATGTTTCAAACATACAGAATATGGCTTTTAAAATG